CATGGAAAGTGCTAGGGTGTAGTTCTCGGGAAACATCGCTTATTGTACCTTTGCATTAAAAATCAGGCAAAAGCTTTGAGCCATGGGCACTGTTAGAGTAAAAATGTTATGCTTAAGTATGACAGCTAGGAATATACACCAATCACCGACGGCCAAATGACCAACTGTGGTCACCATCAGCAAAGGACTTTCTCTACGATTTGAAAGTTAGCACAAAGCTTTTAAAGTACTTCTGATAAAATGTGGCATATTAGGTAAACTGGAAATGATGTAAATTTTTCTATTCGCAGCCTTAACAGTTGCTTTTGATGCCAGGGCGGTAGAATTTTTTAGAGGCTCGTTTCTACAAACATTATGAAATTATCCTACCGCTAAGCTAAGCGGACAGTTAAGAAGTGCTGAAAAATTTTACTAGGCAATACTTTAAATTTGCAATAATTATGAATCCATTTTATTCGTGATGTTATTTTTGTAAAATAAGTCTTTTGAATTTGTATGTACACTGATTAAGTTAAGTGACATTTTGACCAGTTTTGGCTATTTTTCTTTTGTTTATTTAATGTTTATAACTTTATAATAAAAGTCTAGCACATTACATAACCAGCACCACCTCAACGCGATTATCTGCATCCTGAAATTTTCACTTTGCATACCTAAAATTTTTCTAAAAAATCTGAATAAAAAGTTTAAAATATTTGCGTGCAATTTCTGAAATCTGTTGTATTTTTGTAATTTATGCCATTTGTAAATAAGAAAAATAGCTAAAACTAGTCAAAATGTCACTTAACTTAATCTCCTGACCAAAAGCGTGCATAACCACTTAAGTATATACACACAAGGATTAAATTTTTTTCCACAGAAAGTTTAATATCGGTGATATTATTCAGTCCACAGACCTCTCATCAGTTATATGAGGTCAATAAATATATCGCTTTACTACTTACCTATCTTTTAAGTAATGTCATAAACGCTCTTTCTTGCACACTCATTGACCACACATCAACCGTTCAGACGCTGACGGCAACAAATTTCGATTAAGGAGGGTTTTCAAAGCTTCTCTTTAAATTATTACTTAAATTTTTTCGATCATATCGTCATTCTATGATTTGTATTTTCGATCACATTTTAACTGTGATACCGGAAAAAATTCTCAAAATCGAAATTTGAATCATCTTTGCTACCCAAATGTGAGTGAGGAGTTTGAAACCCCAAAAAGCCCCTTGAGTCCGTATATACGCCAACTGTCGCACTTGTAATTAGGGCGTTCATTATTTTAATTGTCTTATCAGTGATAGCCGGAGTACTTATGCTGCCTGTATATACAATGAGGATCAGATATACAACTTACATACATATGTGGTATGTATGTATGTACATATCGACCCCTAACCGCCAAAATAACGTAAGCGACATTTTTTTCAAAATTTTCTTTTTGATGCAGAAATATTCCTAGAGCATCTAGATGCATTTCTGCATCAAAAAGAAAATTTTGAAAAAAATGTTGCTTACGTTATTTTGGCGGTTAGGGCTCGATATGTTGTTGAAAAAGGCTTGCATACTTCGAAGGTGAAGTACATTTAATTTCGTTGTAATTGCGTAAAATTTAACATCATGTGTAAACATAAAAAATCACGTCTCACAAAATAATATTTAACCCAATATCTGTGCATTTTGTGAAAGTGTAAGGGCCAATTTCACAGTGCGTAGTTAACTCAGAATCGGCAGTTAACTACTACACATCTACTGTATTTAGTTTAGTCACACAATTTTTGCATATTCATTAATAATACTAAGCAGTTTTATTAATAATTTAGAACAAGATAAGTGCAAAACTACCCCGCCTTCGAAAGCCCTTGAAATGTAATTTGATTTGAAATTAATAGCAAACAGAAACGCCAATTAATTATAATTAATTCGCAAGTTCTACACAGTTCACAGTGTGACTCTTTAGCAATGTTGCAGTTGCGGTTGATTACGTTCGGATTAATTTGAAAATTTTAATTTATTTTATCATCTCAACAGGTGTTTATTTTTAACTCATCGGGATTACCCTGATGCAATAATAAAAGGTGATTATACGTCCATACAGAGTGACAGCTGGTTTGAGGCACGAGAGAAAAGGGAAGATAAGAATGCCGCTTTGCGAAGTATTTGGTACACTTTTTTCATACAAATTTGTGAAAAACTGAGATTTTACATATAATTCTAAGCAAATTTGCCGGAGAAACCATGGGTCTAAAATCAGTTTGGAGTTTGCCAAATTGCGAACATATGTATCGAAGAAAATGTGAAAATTTTCATTGTTGCGCCCCCTGGTGGAAGTTTTAAGAAAAAGGTAAGTGCAAAAATGGATTCCTTATATCAAGAAACCCCTTATAGTATGTTTTATGCAAACTTTAAGCACTTCTTTACCACACTACAGCAAAATACTAAGAAACCTATTTTCACAATTTGGCAAACTCCAAATTGATTTCAGGAACATGGTTTCTTCGGCAAATTTTCTTTGAATGCGCAAGAATAAGCTGAATAAAAGGTAGGCGAGGTAACACCTTTCTTAAAAAAAAAATGGAAATCGGTTAACGTGGTCCAAAGTTATGCGGTAACATACATAAAAAAAAAATAATCCGACGAATTGACAACCTTTCCCCTTTTTGTGAAACCGGTTAAATATAGGCATCTAGTACCGCAAACGGAATACATATTCAAATAATTAAAGAAATAAATAAAGAATAAATAAGGAGAAAAATAATAAGATATATAACTTAATAAAGGTAATAAGCTTGTTCTTTACTAAATAGCTTAATTGCATATAGAACCCATAAAATAATTTGAAGCAAATCGGAGACATGACATCATTTTTTCTACAAAATCCGTCCGACTTGTATATACATATGTATACCTAAGTATGTTGTGGCATACTAATTTTACTACATATGTGTGTGTGTATTAATACTATATGTAAGTGTAAAGATGAGATCTTATTTTTTACATTTTGTAAATGACTGCAACTGCAATATGAATGAATTTCAATTCCATAGTTTTTAGTTTATTCAGTTTGTAGTTAGCTTTTTAAACTGATATAAAATAAAGACATTTATATTTCTTTGCTTGAAAACACAAATTTATTTTTATTTCTAGTATTCACACTAAAGCAATACTACAAAACTAGTTTGTTAGCATATTTTAATTAATGGCCATAATATCCCGAAATATCGTGGGATTCCGGGGTTACCTTTTTAAGATCCCGAAATCCCGCGATTCACAAAATGGTCCGGGATTGGATGCCTTAGTTGTAACAAAAGGTGAACAACCGGCAATTTTCAGAAAAAGTGAATTTTTCTGTTAAAAATGCGCAGGCTAGAAACTCATTTTCGACGTATAGTTTCCTCCACATTTTCTCTTAAAATTGTCTATAAAAAAGAAAAATACTACGTGGTTCGTCGAAAAACTTTCGTCCGGACAATTTGATCCACCCTAATGTACATTAATACATATGTTTTATGAAACTGAACACTCGTATCACATGTCGAACCGATAAGAGGTATTTTGAATAATTTTTATGTATGTCGTTTCTACGTGCGCTGCTTTGTTGTACTGTTTGACGCCGCCGCACAGGCAAATTTAAACGCCAGCAGAAATGAACTGCAATTAGAGATAGTAAATCATTAACGCAAAACAAAGTTATCAATCAAGCAATATAAGGAGTACTCATGCTTTCCTAACAAGAAACACTCTGCTTATCAAAGTCAATATTCACACAAACATATTCGTTGATAGCAGCTGAATCACCCTGCCGCGGTCGCACAGTGTAGCACGTATGCCACATTGTTGAACAAGCGAACCGAAATTATACATTGAATGCATTTTGACTGATAAATTTAGTCGTTTATTGTAAAATTTCTAAAACATTTTATTTTATTATTTTATATCTTCTAAGAGCTATTCAAGTATTACGTAATTACCAATGGGCCTTTGATTTTCTTCTTTTTTTATGTTAAGGGGCGGGGGTGGCTCTGGATGATGATTACGTCAGCGGTATTTATTTGTTTTCCTTCGACATTTTTCTAAAAATTTTAGCAGATTCTTACTTGAACAAATGCCAAATATACGTAAATTTTTTTAGGGTATAATTTCTAAACTTGACATAACAGATTGGCGCGTTCACGATATGTCAGCGTTTTCACTCAGCTTCTCCTTCGATTTATGGCGTGCGCGTTATTATCGTCACAGAAAGAAAAGGGACCTACAGTTTTACGGCGATTGTATTTTTATAAGAAGCTGTTTTCCATGATAGAAATATTATCGGAGGATTGCCATTGTCTGCCGAAGGGAACCGCTATAGCTATTAGAAAAAACTTTTTTTTTTATGTTAGTCGGGAACTGGGCTCGAACTCAGGCCCTACGGAATGGTAGAGCGCACTGCTAACCACTACACCACAGCGGCTGCAAGAGATATTACCAGATTAAACAAGACCAATAATTACGTAAGCATACGAAGGGGAAAGCGGGATAATAACTATGCTTGCATTAGCTGACAAGGGTGAGGCAGAAGTTAAAAATTTATAAAACTATGCTCACGTAATACTTCAATGGCCCCCTGCCTATACGTAGTCATTTTACATTAGCGAATCGCGTGTTTCGTTCTTCTGAATCATAGGTACTCAAGATTCCCGAGATGGACGTTTTTAAGCTTACAGGATTAACTCAAAGTATCTACTCCGACCAAGGACCATCACCACAGCAGGAGCTGCTACGAAAACAAGAAGTAGTTCTTTCAGTAGAATAGGTATTTTCTAAAGGGTTAGAACTACTTAACCGATCCGAACCGAGTTTTAAAGTAATTTGTAGACCTGCAAAATGGTTTTTATACAAATTCATTTTGATGACTTTTTAGCAATATTATGACATGCAATGATAGTGGGCGAAGTGTTCAAGTGTTCTTAGCAATTTATGTAGATTTCTGCACCATATCTCTTCCAAAACTAACCAAGTTCAAAATTTTCATAAAACTTTTGTATAACCAATAGGCGTGGCAGTGCGTCCATTCGGCGATCGCTTTTAGCAAAATCGAGGCGTTTTTGTCCACAGCTTTTACGGAGACGTTATACTGTACTCCTCCTTCGGTTTGCCGGTGTTTGCAAGGAAGGCAGTACGATAGCAAACCGATGTGTTATTGCTTTGAGTGCTGTTGTATGTACATTTATTTCCATCTACACTGACCAATTATAAATCGAAGCAAAAGAAATAAATCGCAATAACAATTATGACTTATTCCCAATTTGGGCCAAGCGGCTAACACCGGCAAATTCAGTGCCATGTCTGCCAATCGCTCGGCAAACATTGGGTGGGACCATTCCAATAAGGCAAAGAAAGGCAAAGAAACATCGAATAGAACTTGAGGAAGAGCGGTAAATATCAGTGCTAATTGTTTAGTGTGAAAAGTAATTTTGATTGATATAAAGTAATGGATATGTGAGCAAAAAATTTTAGTTCGATAAAAACTGAAGTCGAAGTGCGGTTGAATTCGCGAACTCTAATTGAAGAGATAAATTAGTAGTGGTAAAGTTGTTTAACCTTTATGCATTTAACCTTTTTACACGTGTGTAACTGGTCGGAAGTCTAATTTTTTATGAAAAATCATCTTCACGCATGGAACAACAACAACTGTTCACAAATGCTTTATGTACTCGTTTTCTCATTTAATAATATTATTTTAATTTTCATATGAAAGGTTGGAGTAAAAAATTTGATTATTACATATCTGTATCGACCTATCTATGACGGCACGCCTATTGCAGACTGGCAATAACGTTAAAAATTTGAAGCATGCGTGTTTCAACAAAATAAATTCAAAAAAAAGGTTCGAGGTAAAATTGCCATTTCCTAGCATAAACATTAGACTGAATCACTCCCCCTACAAAATATAAATCGGTACTGTGTTTCCATTGGAATTATAAAAGCATGATATTTTAAGAAGTCCACCAAAATATTTTGGAAAAATATTAAGATTTACGTGAGCTGAACCGATTTGAGTTTTTTATGAAAAAACCAGTTTCTTAAAGTTTTTTTTTTTTTTAAAAAAAATCCGCTGAAGTGACAGACCGGTTAAGCTTAAAAAATTTGCTTAAAAAAAATAATAAAAAAATTTCAACGGAACCGTAATTATGAGATTTTTGAAGCTGTTTTTTAACTTTTTTCAAAGATTGGTATAAGAAAAATTTGAATAACTGAACCTGAACTATTCCGATTTAGATTTGTTAGGTATCATAGGAAAGGTATTTCTCACCCTTTTTATTTCTTTGCCAATAAACTCATTCAAAGGATGAAGCAGAAAGGTAGGTAACGAGCTTCATTCCGAGTTGAATGAAGATATGTATATTGGTATTTGAAAAAAATAAAAATAAATTGGGACATGAATGATTTTTTTTTTGCACAGAAATAAAGAGAGTGGGAAAAGCCTTTTTATTAAGACCCCATAAGTCTATATCAGAATAGTGTTGGCCCAGTTATTCAAGTTTTTCGTAAAACAAGCTTTTGAAAAAGTAAAAAAAAACATATTTTGTCATCTGAGGGGACTTTTTTTAAATGCTTTAAGAAACTATTTTTATTCATAAAAGACTCCATTTTTGCAGATATTTTCAAATCGGTCCAGCTCACGTAAATATTTTTCCGAAATATTTTGGTGGACGTCTTCAAATATAATAAATTTTGTTATTCCGGCGGAGAAACAGCAACTTTTTTTGGTGATGCAGTCTAATACACATACATATGTACGAATATAATGTCGTGTATGTATACTAGGTAGACTACGGGACAAAGGGTGATAACTTTCTTATCATGACCATTAAAACCTTGAACCTTTTTGATATGGAACTTTCCATCTTTATTCAAATTAAAAAAAAAAATGCTACAAATACATATAGACCACCGATCACCCAAAGTTAATATTCTGAAATATTAGACAAAGTCTAAACTCAGTTATCGGTTTTCATTTGCAACGTTCTTTTATTGACAATGTTAACTGGCCGGTGAACGGCCTCTGAATATACATAATTAAAAACATTAGTAGTATTAAGTGGACTCTAGAGGTGTAAAACTATCGATAGTCAGGCCATCGATAGTTTTCGATATTATTTTCAAAACTATCGATATATCGTCGATAGTATCGTATTTATATGGTTTGCCTCAATTTTCGTATGAAGATTTCCTTAAGAATATATTCCGAAATTACGTTTCGATAACCTTGTAAACTGCTGGACACCTTTTTTAATTGTTTAGCCGTTAGGTTAGAAGTAAAGTTATTGAAAATTTGAAATGAATTGAAATGGAATAAAATTGGGCGTACTGAAATTTTATATTTGTGGTTTTCGATATCCTCCGTCACATATATGGCATTCATCAAGTAAATTTCAATTTTAGAAGAAGAAACCATTTTTTATCTGAGAAGTAATGGTTTTTATCTACCTTTTATTAAATAGTAAATAGTGGTCCATAGATAATATTGAAAGTTTTGGTATAAATTAATTTGTATCAGTTTTTAGCCGTATTTTAAGAGATGCAAGGTTTTCCGTCATTTTCGAAATTTGACATTACTCTTAAAAAAGTAGCAATCAAATTTTTATTTCAACTTGGATGTTTAAGAGAAATGAAAAGAAAAGAAGAAATAAAACTAAAATAAATACTGAATCACATGTCTGTCGGACTATCGATAGGTCCAAAAAACAATCGATTGTAGGGAAAAATAAAAAACATCGATACTATCGATAGTGCCATCGATAGTTTTGCACCTCTAGTGGACTCAGCTTCTGACGTTTTGAAGAGAAAAATATCGAAAAATTCTCAAAAAAAAAAAAATTGGCTCGATAGTCGAAACTTTGTAATTTCGCATTAAGATGGACGCCTTAACTTGAAAAACTGGAAAACTCGAAACTGAAAAGCGAATACCTTCATGTAAATAACAGCGACATATTGAGGCGCCTACTCCTGCAGTACTGCATTCAGTGAAATGAAAAAAAACGAAAAAAGTAAAGCAAAATCTTGTAAAACAAAGAAACAAGAACAAGCAGAAACAAGAAATTTCTATGTCATTTGATTAAGATAAGAAAATGAATGACAAATTAGCGATTAAGTAAATTACACTTTCACTAGGCATATATGTATGTATTCATTCCGAATTTCTAGAAAAGGGCAACAGGTTCTACTAACATAAGGGATATCCTCAAAGCCCCGGCTGAAAACTTTTTTATGCCCAACATTTTACAGTGTTCAGACATCAATTGAAATTTATATATTACTAGCAAATACCCGGCGTACTTCACTGCGCCTTAAAAGAATTTTTGGTTTGTTTGATACAAATATTGTAAAATTTCATTTATTTTATCAATTTAATTGCATAAAATTTTACAAACAGGTGGCAACTTGGTGGTAAATTTTTTTTAAACCTCTTCAGTTTCGTGCCGATATTTCAAAATTCAATTTATATTAANCTTTCTTAAACCTCTTCAGTTTCGTGCCGATATTTCAAAATTCAATTTATATTAACAATTATATTCAATTAGAATTTTCAAACAGGTGGCAACCTTACACAGAAACATTTTCGGCAGTAAGTCATTTTAAACCTCTTTCTTTTAACAGCCATATTGGAATATTTACTTTATCTTATCCACTTACTTAAACAGCAATTTTCAAACAGGTGGGAACTTCTCATCGAGATTTATGCATAAAAATGTTTACATTTTGAAGCAAAAAACAAAACCTACTTCAGTTCTCTTTAGTCGATAATCTACCGACTTTTGTACAGAGCTGAANACAATTATATTCAATTAGAATTTTCAAACAGGTGGCAACCTTACACAGAAACATTTTCGGCAGTAAGTCATTTTAAACCTCTTTCTTTTAACAGCCATATTGGAATATTTACTTTATCTTATCCACTTACTTAAACAGCAATTTTCAAACAGGTGAGAACTTCTCATCGAGATTTATGCATAAAAATGTTTACATTTTGAAGCAAAAAACAAAACCTACTTCAGTTCTCTTTAGTCGATAATCTACCGACTTTTGTACAGAGCTGAATTGCGAAAGAAAATGAGTTAGTGCCTTTCTTTATTAGGGTAACGATATATGTACACATGACTATCCTATAATTAAATCAAAAATTGTTTATCAATCAAAAGATTAGTTATACAGCACCCAGGCATATACATATGTATGTATATACATATCCATGTGACTAAATATCATAAAGGGCCGTACGAAAACAACTAAGCAATTACATTTTCTTAAAATTTCAGACTCTTTACTTGATTTATTCAAATAAATTTAAGTAAAAGCTCCGAAACTTTTAGAAAAAGCAATTGCTTAGTTTTTATTCAAACGACCCAAAGTTTCTCTTCGCATTTTTTTTAAATTTATTATTTAGTAATAAGTCATAACATTTTTCCGAAAATAAAATCGTTAAATTTATTATATATAAGTCGAAACTTTAACCTTGTAAAACCTTTGGAAGAATAAATTTATGGAAAAATCCAACGTGTGTGTGTGACGTTTGTGTGTCTTTTGGATTATGACACTATTGAAGTAAATTAGCGATATATATGTGCATTAGGGTGGTCCAAACTAAAAAATAAGGTCGGGATTTTAATGCTTTAGATTGGCGCTTACACATATGTTAGTGTTTGGCCGAGCTTCTCCTCCGACTTGTGGCGTGCGCCTTGATGTTGTCACACACAGCGGGGGGACCTACAGTTTTACGCCGACTCCGCAGGGCGATTGTATTTTTATGAGAAGCTGTTTTTCATGGCAGAAATACACTCGGAGGTTCGCCATTGCCTGCCGAGGGACGACCGCTGTTAAGAAAAACCTTTTTTTTTCTAAATTTGTTTGCGATGTTGCTTTGACCAGGGCTTCAACCCAGGCGCTGCGGAGTGGAAGCGCGCACTACACCACAGCGGCCAACAGAAAAAAATTATACCCCGGTTTTTTTTATTTAAAAAAAGATATATTTAGAGGTCGTTCAAAGCGAGTAAAGTTTCCATATGTTTTAAAAGGGAAAACACCAAGATATATAGCTCTTGAAAATAATACTTTTCGATCGGAAAACTTTTTTTCTTTAGGGGACTGCCAACAATAATACCCAATTCTTTATTTGACTATTTTCTATTTATTAACTATTTTTTTATAGGACCCCTAAAAACCTCAAAAAAATTAAATAGCTACCAATAAAAAATCACTAGTATTAAAAAATAGTAAAATAAGCAACTGCGTATTGTTATTGCCAGTCTCCTGAAGAGAAACAAAGCTTTCGGATCGAAAAATATTGCTTTTCAAGAATTTTGTACCATTTCCACGAAACCTTGTTTTTCCCCCATATAAAAAACATGGAAAAGTGCTTTAAGCGCTTTGAGCCTCAAAATAAAAAAAACGAGGTATCATTTTATTCGGTACAATCCTAGGGAGTGAGAGCAAAAAAATTCAGTATTTTCTTTTTCACGTGCACTTTTGGACCACACTAATGTAAACACATACATATGTATGTTTTAAACTACATATTAGAGTGGTCGAAAAAAATAAAGTCGGAGTTTTAATGCCGGCACACCCTAGGATTGAAAAGAAAAACTTTAAATAAAACTAAATAGCTCTACAAATTTGCTTGACAATACATTGCAACTAGGGATGTTATACCAATTCGAGTGAAATCTCGCAATGGTATTTTAGAAGGAAAATTATTCACCCTTAACCAAAAGGAAAAAGGATTTTGTAGCTCCGCCCACAAACGCTAGCGACATCTGCTTGTCAAAATCTATGTTGCCATAAAAATGGTGCAGACACATGAAAACGAGTTCAGTCAGACGGTATGTTCTCAGATTGAAACAACAGCATACAACAGCAGTAGTGTAGTATATTTCCGACAAATTATATATGTTTAAACTTTTTAAATCTATAAAATTACTCTCATTGTTTCATTCATGCTAGAAAAGCTGGACGAATACTGTTATTATAACAATTTCGTTTATAGATTTAGAATGGACTCTACACTAAATGGCGGTGTTGGGAATGATGTCGAAACTTTACCAGCCTGGCTGAAAGTAGTAACTTTCGAGAATGCAGCACGCGCCAGTGTAGGCGAAAATTTTGCGAGACTAGTCAACGCTCGCTTTGAAAGCGATTCGAAAAGTAACGATAACTATTCCTCGTTATTGCTGCGCCTCCATTTGGATATCGAACTCAAAGGTTCCCACATACCGACACAAATATACTTACATTCGTAAAAATTGTATAATCGCTTAATTAATCTATTGAAATGTCACTTGCAGATGGTAGCACAAAAACGGCGACTTTCGTTCTCAAAGCGCCACACAGCAATGAATTGATGTTGAAAATATTGAATTTATTGAAACTCTTTCCGAAAGAAGAAATAACTTATCACAAAATTTTACCGAAATTCGAAGAGCTATATGAACAAGTGGGAAAAGACGTTAAATTTGCACCCAACGCATATCAAATCGATCGTGATATTGGTGTGGACTACATTTTGCTAGAGGATCTGCGTCCAAAAGGTTATAAAAGTGCCAACCGAGTTAGGGGTTTGGATCTGGAGCACACCAAGCATGTGCTTCACAAAATGGCCGAGTTGCATGCCGCTTCCGCCTGTTATGTGGAACACTTTGGCATGTATCCCGAGGAATTCACTGTGGGCGTTTACTCGAAAAACAATAAGGAGCTGCTGAAGGAGTTCAATGCATCCGATACATTTTTGGCTCAACTCAAAAAGTGGAAAGATGGTCAGGCCTACTATGAGAAATTGGTGAGTAATAACACAGTGATAGAAACGAGACTATGCCTCCTATTCAAACCGAATGTATGTATGTACTCTAACAAATTTTTAAAGAATGAATAGAAACGTACGAAAACGATTAAATACGAGGGAACATTTTAAATTTGTAATTTCAAAATAGAGATAGAGGTACAAATTCAAATTCACTACATAAATTACACTGGTCGAAAGTCAAACAAACTCAAGAACGGAATTTATATTGCTTAATATCCATACATATGTATGTATGTATGTATGCACGTACTTATGAACATACATATGTAAAACCTCCCTAGGAGTGTTCTATATCGGCAAAAATATACCAGTTTTTTTTTTAAATAAAAAAATTGTCAGTGGTCGCTCAAAGTTTCCCAACTACTTTTCTTAGAAACGGTAGATTCCTTGCTATCGGCTAACACTGTTTCTCTTCCGAAGTACTCAAAGATTAACACCCAACTGTTTATTTAACCTTTTTTTTAATAATAACGATTTTTATCGGATGGATATTATTCCTTGAAAACTTCTGAAAAAAACAGAGATTGCCGATTGAAAAAAATAGATTCCCAAGGATTCTATACGTTTCGAAAAAAAAAAACAATCGCATAAAATAAATGGGAAGCTTTAAGCGCTTTACCTACGACCTCTAAATATTTTTTTATTTCAAAAAGGTTTATTTTTTCGGTATAGAATAATCCGACTTTAATTTCTTTGGACAACCCTAATACATACATATATATTAGGTGCCAATCGAAAACGTTTTTTTTGTTTGGAAATTTCAAGAAAATATTATTGGCTACTTTTATAGATTTTTTAAAGGTCATTTAGAGGTCGCGACCTGTCGATTTCGGTCAGAAAATACGATTTTGTAGGTTTATGGATTTTTTAATGACTATTTTCGATCCGATTTCAAATATCGAATACGATCTGAGAAAAGGATATACATATATAAATATTGTGGAGCCCGTGGGTTTTGTCCGATTTCAAATTTTATTAGGTGAATTTTTTTGGTTGACGGTGTTGTGTGTGTTTCTTCCATATATATATAAAATGTACGGGAAAAAAGCCTAGCATCGTCAGCAAAAAAAAAATATATTCAAAATCAACGCGATTTTCTAGCGTCTTGAAATTTGCTCTTTTGAATAAAAAGTTTAGCTTTTTTGGGCGTAATTCTTAAAATTTGTAGAATTTTTATACGAAGTTCGAAATGTGGATTTATGTCGTGGTGATCTTTTTCAAAAACATTATAAGCATTAAATACACAAAAGAAAAATAACCAAAACTGGTCAAAATGTCACTTAACTTAATTAGCTGACCAAAAGGGTATACACTTTATAGGCTGACAGCGACAACTACTTGGTGGATCGTTTGCTGCAGGACCAAGTTTACAACCCAAGCGAGTTCAACGTACTCAACCACGGCGATTGCTGGGTGAACAACATCCTCTTCAGGTACAACGCGTTCGGTGAAATTAAGGACACTCGCTTCATTGATTTCCAAGTCGGCAAATATGGCTCGCCCGCTCATGATCTTTACTACTTCATTTTATCATCAACTGCAGCAGATATAAAAATTGCACAGTTCGATTATTTAGTGCGGTATTACTTTGATAACCTCGTTGAAAACTTAAAACTACTCCAGTATCACCGTCCCCTGCCGAAGCTGCGGAATCTTCACACGGCGTTGCTTAAAAACGGACTAGCAGGTAAGGGATACAAATTTATATTTCAATTTTTCTGCAAATCTGGCGAAAATACTCAAAAAAATTGTATTTGCAGCCTACTTAGTTGTGTCTAAAGTTTTGCCGGTTGTTATGTTGGAGAAGAGTGGCAATGATTATAAAGAGGATCGCTTGCAAGATGAGAGTAAAATTAAACTGGCGATGTACACTAATCCAAAGTATGTTGAGGCAATGTCTGAAATCCTTCCGTGGTTGGATAATCGCGGCTTGCTTGACTGGAAGTAATTTGGAAATGCTACTCGTAATATTAAATATAAAATGCACTGTATCGGAGGTTTACATAAATAGCCATAGCTGAGAAATTCTAAAGCGATAATGAAACAATAGCGAATCTTTGATTACACTCACTGAGAAACTTTTCCGTTATTAATAAAAATTTATAAGTATTATCGGAATTTGTATTCACTTCTGTAAATTCAAATGAGCCCAAACCAAAGCTTATAACGGCCAATGAGATTGCAGTGGATAAGTTCGGACTAGATACTAAAATCCTAATTTAAGCTAGGCATCTTGATTGAGTTTCGCGTGAATCCTTCGCATAGGCCACAACTGATCCTTAGTTTCGTCGAGAGTTTAATGGGTAAGCATAGATTATAAATCCCGCTCGTGAGCCAAGGAAGATCAATCATGGCTTCCAAAATACTGGGCAGTGACACAGAAGGTGCTCAAGGGTGCCTTTCGGACTGTCTTCGTTGCAATGCTAGACATGTGCCAATCAGCGTGATTTCTATTCGTGCCTTGGGTGATGGTGTGAGTGTGATCCTGTAAGTTTCACAGCTGGCTATCGAAGATCGTAAGTGAAATTCGTATTATGAGCTATGCAAGCGTGTCGAAATTTTCGTCAAGTACCGAATTTTCTGTCGAACAGAATTTTGCTTTCGCTGGTGAAGCGGAATGTTAGAAAATTGTGAAAAATGTATGATTTTGCATTTGTTTTCTTACTTTACGGCGGCTAGACACTTTTCATAAATTTTATATAGTTCTACCGTCGGGAATACTAAACGCAAGCTCGAAAGGCTGGTTTTACTTATGAAAGAAAACCCCAATACTCTGTTGACACGATCCATTGAGAACAAAATCAGAGAGCTGTTTATAGTTTTAATATATTTTAAATAGGTTTGGATCACAAAGTTTCTTAAATATATTGTATGTCAAAATATATTCGAAAGACTACAGTTAAGCTCGCTTAAACTTTTTCTGCTCCTACCAATAAAACAAATTTTGCCTTATTTCCCATTGCCTATTTATACTAGTTGTAACAAAAACAGTTTATTGATAGAAGGAAAAAGAACTTTGTTTATTCCAAAAATACAATTAAACAAAAAATGTGATATAATTGCGGTATATGAAGAAAGTAATATTCAAAAAATTATTTTACTTATGTCTAATTTTAAAAGTCTAACAAAATATCGACTGCTGAGTGGAAGATCAACCTNGAACTTTGTTTATTCCAAAAATACAATTAAACAAAAAATGTGATATAATTGCGGTATATGAAGAAAGTAATATTCAAAAAATTATTTTACTTATGTCTAATTTTAAAAGTCTAACAAAATATCGACTGCTGAGTGGAAGATCAACCTACTTATCTCGGCAGCCAGCTCGAAAACGCTCTATCTCAAAAAACTTTTCAAGAACGCCCTATTTCAGATTTCGTTTCAAAAACGGCCTATATCAGCTGCCGATTCAAAAACGCCCCATATCAGCAAATTTTCAATACATTTTGAAGTGAGATAGGGCGTTCTGCAACCAAATTCTGAGATAGCGCNCTCAAAAAACTTTTCAAGAACGCCCTATTTCAGATTTCGTTTCAAAAACGGCCTATATCAGCTGCCGATTCAAAAACGCCCCATATCAGCAAATTTTCAATACATTTTGAAGTGAGATAGGGCGTTCTGCAACCAAATTCTGAGATAGCGCTGTTTTTCAATAAAATTCTGAAATAGGGCGTTCTTGAAAAGATTTTTGAGATAGGGCGTTTTCGAACTGGCTGCCGAGATAGGTCGATCTTCCACTCAGCAGTCGATATAGGAGAAGAGTCGTCTTTAATAACTGCTCAACAAATTGGACATAGCGCTTTTGTATGAATTTTATCCGCATGCTTTTTAATATGTTGAAAACATTGCTGGAAAACCTTAAATTGTTTGCATGGAACCAAAGCGCAATTAACAGGTGAAGTAATAAAACAGCTTTCTCGCTTTATTTTCTGCCATTCGGCTGCCTTATAGTCAAATTTTAAAGGTAATTTTTCAAATAAGGCAGTGTCAAAATCTTTTACTCGCACGAATTACTTCACCTGGTATAATTCCGCCATGACATGGAACAAACAAAAGTGGCCGTTCCTGTTCGCAGCATATAACACAGAGAATATTGTTGAGTTTTATATTCAGTTAAAATTTCTGCATTATCATCACTAGTTTCACCATATGGGTGTTTCCAGCGGAAGGTCCACCACGACAAAAAAAATAAAAGTTTTATATCTAACGTATTTACGGGCCGATTTGTCTGCTTTTTAAAATATATACTGGCTATGTAAGTACAATCATGTTTGCATAAAATGGTCTTCCAAGGTGGTGCCAAGNAAAAAAAATAAAAGTTTTATATCTAACGTATTTACGGGCCGATTTGTCTGTTTTTTAAAATATATACTGGCTATGTAAGTAGAATCATCTTTGCATAAAATGGTCTTCCAAGGTGGTGCCAAGGTCGAGATATTTCGAAAAACCGTTTTTATGGTCTGATTTTGTTCGAATTTGGCGTATGTGGTTGAAACATAATAAATCATAGA